GGGGCAGGCGAGGGGGGCAGGCGCCATCCTGCGCCCTTTCCAGCCCCTTCCTAGGCCGATGAGCGCATGCAGCTCAGCCCCACACGCTTGCAGTACATCGGGGTGTCCCCCTTTGGGGGAGACAAAATGCTTGCCCTGCTTGTTGGCCTGGACGAAGCTACCAGCTGCCTGCCCGGGTCAAGCCACAGGGTGTTGATCTGCAGGCTGGGAAGGCGTGAGTCCCCACTGCCCCCGTGGGTGTTTGCGTTTGGGTGTGCGGCACTGCCGAACACTGCTGGTGAAGCACCGGGCGGCTCGGCCTCCTTGCTGGGGAAGATGCAGAACGTGCATCCCGTCCTCACCTCTCCGTCCCGCAGGCAGGTCCCACTGTCCCTCGGTACAGCGGCTTTTCTCCAGCGCAGAAAGTCTGCGTGCTGGGATGCTGGGACCCCTGGGCTCAACCCCTCACAAGACTTCTGTGCAAATGGAGCGGGGGTCAGACCAATCCATGGCAACAGGCTGAGAGCAGAGGGTTCGGGGGGAGATGTGCGCTTAGGAAACCATGATGGCTGTGATTCCTGGGAAGGGTCTCATCTGAATCCTGACCAGGCCAGGCAGCCCGTCCTCTCGAGAAGGGGTGGCGTACCAGGCAGCGCCCAGGGCCAGGAGCGGTTATCAGTTCGCGAGGGTGGTCAGCAACCGAGTAAGAAATGTCTGCTGTACTTTTCAACAGAAAGATTTCCAGACTGCAGTTCAACAAGGTGAAGCTGGAAGATGCTGGGGAGTACAGCTGCGAAGCGGAGAACGTTTTAGGGAAATGGCAGCCTGAATGTGAAAAGTGGTAAGTGAAGAAGCCAGCATATGTCTTGAGCTGTCTGCTGTTGAAGCAGAATGCGGGAGGTTCTGCACATGATCTGTCTTGTATTTTGTTTCATGCTTTCAGGATATCGAGTAAAACAATCTTGGGAGATAAGAAAAATGCAGCTTAGCATAAATGTTTATCTTTGTTATCTGTCACTGGCCATGTGGTTAATTTACATTTTAAATAAACTTACAGTCAATGTATTTTTTTGAAAAGAGGTAAGGAGGAAAGAAAGCTGGTGGGCTTGATATTTTCCTTTTTTAAAGAATTTCTGAGAGGCAAAATTCACCAGAAGACAAGTAATTAAACCATAGCTTTGTGATGAGTGAAGTTGCTTCTGGTTTTCATCCTAGAATGTGTGCTCCATCTCTTAGAGCTCAGCGGATGGAGTCTGAGGTTAGGTGGTTTTATTATTATCTTGGTCATAATAATTATATTGCTTAACATGATGGTTTGGATGCACCCTCCAGCTCAGAAAGTCCCCACAGTGGTTGCCAGAAGCCGGGAGGGTGCAACGAGGGGAGGGATGGCTCCGCACAAGCTCTGCTTCCGAGCTCTTCCTCCTGCCATTCCCGAGGGGCCGCGGCGGGAGCCCAGGCTCCACGCTCTGCAGCCCTTTGGCGCGATCCGGTCTCTCTCTCGTGCTCTGACCAGCATTAGTCAACTGCGAGGGGAGGTAGCTTTCTCCTGCTGCTTTCTGGCATCTCTGTTAACGTCTGCCTCAGCAGCCTTCGCAGTCCTGAACCTTCAGTTCCGTGAAGCAGCAGTGTCACATAGCCTCCCGCTCAGTCACTGCCTGTAAAAGCCCGGTGCTTGCAAAGTCTGGAGAAAGGCTCAGCCCCCCCTGCCTTCACGCTTCACGTCTACTGAGTTAGCCCCACTTCTCTGCTACGTTTCTTTCCGACCGCGGTAGGAAGGGTGTCCAGGGTAAGGTAACTGAGGCAGTGCCACTGCTTTTTTCCCGGCTCATGCTCCGGCTCTCCCATCGCAATGCAAACTGCTCCTGTGCTGACTGGGGGCTGCATGTGCCACCCCCCCACCGTGCAACATGTTCAAGCAGCTCGTGCCTCCCGTCAGAGCCCTGCCTGCCTCCTTTGCTCGCCCTTCCCAGTCGCGAGCAATCCCCTTTCACAAGAGGACGACTGTGATCGAGCCCTGCCCGCTGCGAGGCGCCGATCTGGCACGCTGCTTATGGCACCAGGAAAATGCACATCAGGCCACCGCCGCCTCCAACGGCCCCGTCCCACCTGCACGGGCACCGGCAGCGCTTGCCAGGGTGCAGCTCTTCCTCCGCGGGAAGGCGTGTGTCTGGCAAGGGCAGGTTGCTCTCGCTCAGGCCACTGGCTATGAGGACACACCTGAGTTGCCCAGAAATGTGTTGAGACCTGGCCAGCAGTCAAAGAGACCCAAAGATCTGGCCTGTACCTTTTCTGAGCGGGAGCTGCAGGCTGCTGGGTGCTGCAGATCCAGTTGATTGCCCGCTGTGACCTGCTGTGGCAGATCCTCGATTAATCCGTTTTCTATGCTGCCTTGCAAATCTGCCCTTGGGTTGCTGCTCCTGGCTGCAGGCACCCCTTGCTGCTGCTGTTGGCAGGTCACCCGGCGGGACAGCAGTTGGGCGCCAGTTGCAGTCCCTTGCAAAGGCAAACACAATGCTGGTGATCACTGCAGGCTTTTGCAGCTCTGTCACCCCCTTTGCACTCTTTTTTCACCTCCTGCTGGAGCTACCCAGAGCCGAGCAGCCCTCATCTGTGCCCAGCACTTGCTGTCCTAGAGTGTCCCTCTTCCCCTACTGCTGTGCCTTCCTGGGACCTCGACAGCTTTCCTCACTTCTGCAAACTCCCTTCTGTGATATCTTTCAGTAGAAAACTCCTCAGGGCATCTGCTTGTCTCTGAATCGAGCGTGTGCTGTCTTCTGTCCCTCCCTGCATTCTTCTCCAGGCTCCTTAGCACTGATCCTATTGTGGCTGACTCTCAGCACAGTGCTCTGTGAAGTTCTAGCAGTTTATAGCAATTAATCAGAGCAGACGTGCAAGCTGGCCTTCCCTCGGAGCCTTCCCCTCTTTCCCAGGAGCCTGCTCCAGCTATTGCTGTTTCTGTATGTTCTGCTGCTTTAGATTCTGGTTCTTTACCGCTGCCCCGTCCCTGGGAACCCGGTGCCTCTGCCTGTCCTGGGCAGGCTGGCTGGGGCTGGTGCTCTGGGACTGTCTGCTGGGAGCACTTTCTGACCTGACACTTGGCAGTACTGTTGGAGGTCCTGTAACGTTGCTGTGATACAGGCGGGTGACTCCAGGACTGAGAAAAAGTCCTGAGCCAACACCACATCTTGTGATACAGAGGGGACACCTCAAGTGCCCCTGTAGGGAGGTACATTGCAAGAGGTGGCCCGAGCTGTTGAAGCTTTAGAGGTGAGCATCGTGGAGGTGCGAGTTGTCCTCAGCCTTTCCCTCCCAGGGATGCAGTTGCCAGAGACGGAGGGTCCTGAGCCCGCTCGAGTCCTGGCTGGCTGAGAAGGAGCTCACATGTGAGACCCCCAGGCCCATGGATGTGAAGGGCTGAGGTTCAGTCCCTGCTGGTAGAAGCTTCTCAGCCTGATGAGGCAGCACTGCTGTACTCTTTGCTCCGTTCCACTACCGCTTTTCAGTTTATGCTGGTTTCAGAGGAGCACCTTTTCAGCCATGCAGGTCTGTTATAAATCACCAAAAGCACCACATGGAAGAGGGATTTTCTTTAGCGGGAGAGTGGCTGCGGTGCAGTGACCCCTCGTCACTTAGAAAATGCCCATCAGCCAAACCCATCACCTCGCCTCTCCCCTGCAATTCTGGCAGTTCCACAAAATGCCCAGCTCAGAAATAAGTGCTTTCACATTGGAAAGCTTTGGGAGGGTCTCTGCTTCTGAGGAAATGCTTCTGGGCTCAGCCAAAACGTCCTGTGCTTTGGTGCTATTTTCAGATTTTTATTACTGTGAGGTAAATCAGGTGCTTGCTTAGAAAAAATGTCCCATTTCCCAGTTCTCGTTATTGAGTGCTCTAATATTGGTATCACACGGGCATGAGGGCACAGCTGAGATGGGACTGTTTCAGATTCTTTTTTTCCTCAGAAAATTTCTAGACGCCTCCTTAACTGACACCCCCACCCTTTGCTAAACACTGCAGGAAAAATCAAACTCTTATCAAAAATTCTTTCTGCTTTTACCTCTCTGTGGCAGTGCCCCTCTCCCGCCCCCCCGTCTCTGGCAGGGTGCTGCACGCACAGCGTAGGCTCCTGGTGCTTTCTGCTGGGCGCATCCAGAGGGCGGTGAGAGGCTTTGATCCAGCGGGCTTGAGTAGAGCTGGTGACTCTGGACGCTGGACTTCCCCAGTATCTTGATTTATAAAGAGGAAATTGCTGCACCTGCTCATCCCTGTATTGCCTTGTGCCACGGCCCCCATCTGTTCCATGCTCCTCCGTGAGTGTTGCTTTGTCCTGCAGGGCTGCACGCACTCGTGGGATGGAGGCTCTTCAGATGATCTCACCTTTTCTTAAACACCACATTTTTCTCACTGCCAAGTTCTGTGATCCCGTCTTTGCTCTCTTGTAGCCATCAGGGCTAGGAAAACCTCCCACAGTTTCGCTCATTGCCTGTCGGGCGAATCCTTTTTATCATGACAGAGACCCCGATGGCACAAGGCTCAGCCAGGGGACCCACGTGCCCTGTGCCATCCCCTGCAGGGGCCTCGTTTATCGGCCTCTGACACCCAGTTCCCCCCCGAGCGTACTCTAACCAGTACTAACGCACTGAGAGCCTCCCCAGCCTGCGCCGCCCGCAGCACCCGCTCTTCTCCTCCGCCCCGCAGTAGCTAAGCCCACTCTTCTCTGCTCAGAATAGATATTTTGTTCACTACTTTCTTACCTTAATTTCCCCAGGAACAACGAAAGCACCACAAGTCTTACCAGCCTCAGAAACTAAAATAGTTGTTATGGAAGAAGAGTGTAAGTACCTCTCCCCCCGCACCCCCCGTAGAGCTTCCTTCCCCTTATTTGTTTTGTTTTTATGAGACGTTTTGCATAAATGCTTTATTGCCTCCTGGAATTTTCTTTAATCGCTGCTTCTCTTTGATTTCTCCCAAAACCACTGACATTTCCCTAATCTTTCAAAAAATATGATTTATATTGCTGGTATCTATCTTGGAGAGGGAGAGGTTGATAACATTGCAATGGGAGCTTGAAGAACACCCTACTGCAGCTGGACTGTAAGCATTCCCAGCCCTTCCGATACGCAGGGTTATTGATACTCATAAGAGGTGCTTGTAAGGGCCTTTGGTTTAGCGGGGGGGTTGGTTTTGGGTTTGGGGGTTTTTTTGAGGATAGGTAGAGAAAACCAAAAGAGGCTTTAGGAAATACAAGAAAAAAGATGCAAATCCTCTAAGTGTAAGTCATAAGAAAATTGCAGATAATACATCTGCGCCCTCACATTTTTCCTTGAGCGTCCAGAAAGCAAGAACAGATTTCCCAAAGTGCTTAGTTTGATTTAATGTGGTGGAAGTGCTTTTTGTCATTCCCTCCTATTCAGTTGTCACGAGTGCAGTAGAAAACGGGCACACAAGAATAAAAATTGGAGCATGTGTACAAGCGTAGATCTAGAAGTTATTTCAGTCTCGGAGTCTCTGGCGACACCCAGGCAGTGGCCGCGCTCTGGACAGCCTGCCAGGATCCCCTCCAAACGAGCAGGCACCCGGCGTGCTGAGGCCCAAGAGATTATTTGGAGATCCATGTGGTATGCCCATTTCTCACGCCCAGAACTGGCAGCACGGCTGGCTGTGCCTCTCTGTGGATGTTTCTGCTTTGCAGATTTTAAGGGGACATTTCCTCCTTGGAGAGCTCAGTCTTTTATGATTTTAAAGGAAATCTGACTGCAGCCACAGCAGGGACTGGCCAGGTAGCCTTTAAAAGCTTCTCTGATTACAAACCTGCCCTTAAAATTTGCTCTTGCGTTGTGCTTAGCCTTCCGCTGCACTGGGGACACCACGCTGGGATGCAGCACCGTTAATGCAGTGACCACACCGTCCTTCCTGGGATTCTTCCTCTGTGCTCACCAGCATCAATCCATGCTGCACATTTGCATCACGTTAGATGTACGCTGTTTTCACTAACAGCCAAATTCAGCGATAGGGAGGAGACTGGCACAATGCCGTGTGGCTTGCACAGAAGTTTCTCCTTTTGGAAAACTTCTTTCTTCTGTGGGACCATCATCCTTGCCTGTCTGCTTTTTCCTTAATGATGTGGGGAGATGGTGAAGTCTCCAGAGTTTAAGTTGTAATTGACATTTTCCTTCACATTCCTTTTTTATTCTCTCTCTCAACTGTTACCTGAATAACACAGTTCCCCCGGTTTGTATGGTTACTGATGATCTATCATAGAATTGCACATGTGTACAACATGTGGGGAGGTAATGAAGATGTCGTGAGGTGTGATGATCTGGAAAACTGACACGTACTCACCCTTGTAAAATTCTCGCATTTCTTTTAAATATCTGTTTTCGAAAGCTTGTCTGGCCCCGTAGCTTGTCCCACCTCGCATTGTTTCACCGAAAGGTTGTAAACCATCCACTGGATTTTAAACACCAGGTTCCACCATGCAAACTTGGTGGTAGCTGCAGTTCCCTGGGCAAGGAGGGACGGCCTCGCACGGGCAGCCTGGTCCAGTGCTTGGTCACTTCTGCGTGGCCCATGGTGCGAGGCAGGCATCTCACCAGGTAGTCTGGGCAAGGGTGTCGGACCTTACACCTCAGGAGGCTCACCGTGTTCTCCCCATGACCCAGACAGTCCCTGCGGGCAAGGGGGTAAAACCCCTTGAAGGTTTATGCAGCACAAATATAATAAAATCTTATCAAAGTTTCATTTTTAAAAGGAAGAATAATGTTTTAAATCTCCCCTAAGGTCAGGTAATCCCTTTTGCTGTTGCATTCTCCTCCAGTTTATTTCCTTGACTTCAAGAAACTTGAGGGTGAAAGGAGAATACAGGCTGGGGGGGAAGTGTGGTTTGGATACTGCCAGGACACGAGAGGATCCGCCAGTGATGGGCAAATGCTCTAAACCAACATGAGGGCCATTGCAGCTGGACTCTGCCCGTGGCCTTAGTCTGGGTGATGACCCAGCTGACCGGGTCGAGTGCCTTTTTTTTACCAGCCCGCGTAGGCTGGCAGCGCTGGCTGGGCTGCTTAACTCCACCCTACGGGCGCTCTGCAGCAGGGAGAGGTTTGGGATCAGATGAGAAGATGAAAGAGGGAGAAAGAGCAGAAGGGGCAGAGCTGAGTTGAACCTGAGGACTGGGGGATAGGGTGAGGCGCCTGTATGAAAGCTGGGCTCTCTGGATTGATTTTGGGGGCCTTTATTTCAACTGCTGGGGATCACCAGCCCTCCCTGAAGTCCCTCTAGACATCCCTGTGGGAGGGTAGGTGAAACAGCCCTTCTTTTGTCAGTTAAGTCTAACTCTCCACACACCAGTTTGGGCCCACAGATTTCATCATCTTGGTGATGTCGTTGGACTAAGTTTGTAGACTCATTGGTTTAGACTTGTTCAGACTCTCCTTCTCCCTTTTAATACCTTCCCCAGTGCGTTGTCCTTACTTTCTCTTGCCCAGGTGAGGTGGGCCTGGTGGCCTTGCATGATTACAATGGCTCAGCGATGTGTTTACTGTGATGAGGTTTGTAAGTCACATCTGGTCACATCCAGTTGAATCGAAGCTTCAGCATCACAGTAAGGTGTGCCATGTAATTAAGGTTCAGCCAATTCCCCCAGACCTTGTCTCAGGTCCAGTCTGGCAAGGCCTTTACTGGGTGACCATGGCAGACCTGCATGTTAACTGGCTGGTCACTCTCTGGTCACTGCAGCCTGAAGGCACCATGCTTTCCTGGAGCCAGCAACGCTACCAACGTGAGCGTGGTGCTGTCGGCTTGGAGTCGAAGGGCGCCCAGCCAGCCCAGAGCTTGGGTAGAACAGGCAGAAGTCCATCCACCAAGGGCCATGCGGACAGACCAGTTCTCAATATTAGACTAAAAATAAGCCCTGGTGTGGCCTTTGCTCAGATAATTTAAACCCCACAGTGGGAGGTGTGGTTGATAATTGAGTGGAGCCTGCACGCACGCAGGCTTGGTACCTTGGGCGTACGTGTGGGAGATCTCGCCGTCAGGCTGCAGCGAGCGCTGTGTTGTGGCTGCTGTCACGTCCTGGCCATTGCTTGTTTTGCACGCTCTGTATTTTTTGAGTAGCCATCACATCAGCTACTCTAGATGGACGTACAGACAGCCCGTTGTGACTGTAAAGGCAAAGACGGGCAGTGTGGAGTGACGTGTAGGATGGAGGCTGGTGTTCCCTGGACGAACGGAGGCTGTAAGCCCAGCGTGCAGAGCGGGAGGCTGCCTATGAGGAGATCGGCTCTGTCTGACTCCATTGCACGTTGCTGCACTCTCTTGGGCCTCAGTTGCCCCGCCTGCAAAGCGTTCCTGCTGCCTCCGGCCCTGCCAAAGGCTTTTTAGGTTGAACAAATCCCCTCACTGAAGGATCACGTTGCTGCTATTACAGTTGATACAGTATTTGGGAAAATCAAATGCTGCGGTGCTAACATGTGCACCTGGGACCCTTGTGGTAGAGGAGGGAAGGGCTCCTTCCTAAAGCTGGAGACATCAGCCTGGAGGAGCAAGTAGAAGCTTTATAACAGCACAGGACTTTGCCCCTGCAATAGGTACCTGTCCTATGGAAACAGGCGGTCCCTTGGTGCTCTGAAACCTTCAGATGTGCTCCTTGCTGGAGCACCAGAGCAGTGCAGGAGGGAGAGGTGGGGAGCGCTGCCACGCTGGTTTTGATCCACAGTATTCGATGCTCTGAGTGTCCTGCAGTCTGGCATCTGTATTTTGGGATGAACTTGTAGTCTGCAGCTATTGATCCTCATGATCCCCTCAGGAACTGGGAACATAATTCCAGCAGGATCTATTTCAGTAAAGTGCAGGGGTAAATATTGGGTCATTTCCAGATGAATAAACACAGAGGAGCAGCATTTTTGTGAGCTCCAGAGTCCCCGTTGCCAGGTGAGCCCTGGTCTGCACAGGCCCTTCTGATTTTATATAAAAAAACAGCAGTGAGCATCCAGCCCCTGTTCAGGTTTGTTAAGAGATGAGAGCATCGTACCAGACGTACAGAGATAGTGGTTAGGATCAACGGCCCCTCGGTGTATTAATCAGTGTAAATCACGGGTTTAGCGTGGCTCGCGCCAGGACTACAGTGCTACGGCCAAAGAACAGCTTGGCCAGACACCTCCTCATCCATGCTCTTCTGACAAGCAGTTGGATGAACTCGATTGAGAGGAACCTCAGCAATTCTGTGTTTTATCAGTAAGTACATGAGGCATATACAGAGCAGGCAATTTGTATACACTCTCCAACCAGCTGAGCTCATCTGTCTGCCCGAATGTCTAAATATTGAGAGAATGAAGTGTCTGTGCTCTATGAACCCACCAGTCAAAGTTATTTATAAAAAAAAAGGAGCAGCAAAACTATCACTGTCTCCCCGCGCTCCTCGACAGTAGCTGTAGTTTGTGAAAAATTAGCTATAATTTACAGTCCAAGCCGCAGTAATTAACTCTTTGCAGGGGGAGCATTTCACCAGATTTCTGAGAACGGGCCGGTGAGCTGTCTGCGAAGGTTAAATGACGCGCACGGGAGGAATTGTGTAAGAGTCCCTGCACAATCATTAATAGCCTTTCTGCGTAGCTGGGCTGCGTGGAAGGAAGCCCACACGGCAACGCCAGCGTCCGCAGTCTCCTCTCTGCTGCCCTGCTGTCGATGTTAGCCCCGAATAACCTAGGCGTGTGGTGGAAGACAGCCGTTCTGAATTACTGCCATGCTCTGAATCTCTCGTGTGTTTCTGCTGCACTGTCCTCGCTGATGGGGGCAGCGACAATAAAACGTGGCTCCAGACCGTCTGCAGTCACGTCC